CAACCAAAGTCGAAGTATTCCCTTAACAAATCAACAAGCACTTGTGCCAATTCCTTTAAGACTTTTTTACAAGCTCAAAACTTGTAGCGACGTTCGATTCAAGATTAAGTCGCCAAGATCCTTGAATCAACAAAGTCCTACATCAACTCTACCTTTGTCGCAGCCCTAAACCTGAGGTGAAAACCATCCAAGCATTGTTTTAAGCTCAAAACTTGAAGCAATCGTTCAATCCTTCGTCCGAGATCAAGTCATCACGACCCTTGGACCAACAACCTACACATCTACATCAAATTTGAAGACTAAATTAAAGGAAAATTGTAAATAGAGATTGTAACCTACGAATTCAAATCAATACAAATCTACTTTGTACATGTGTTCTCGTTTCATTCGATACAGAATTTTCATGTTTATAGTTCCGACTATGTTTATCAGTGGTAAGTGAACTAATTCATGGCTTGCTTGAACTTTTGTTGTGCTGCTCCATGACTTTAGTTTACTGATCATCTTTCTTACTTTGTGTTGATTCGGAATTTGGCTCAACTTTAAGAACTTCGACGAATATGAAGAAAGTGCACATCACCTTGTGCATTCCTATTGAGTACCATACGTGGCGCTGGCTGCTCAGTCCTCTTCGTTGGGAGAAAGGCAGGCTGCCTCCAAAGGAAGAGATACAATAGCCCAGTCATTGTCCACATGAGCGCCATGTCACAGTTAACGGGAGACTTAACAGTTTGACTAATGGATGTATGAGGCTGTTTCAAAATTTACACTTTAGGTATGACTCTGGGACGAAAAAAACTTGATTTACTAAATGTTGAAAACCACAAAACCTGAGGGTAGTAAATAGGGATTTACCCTTTTTTTTTTGAATTTGTGTTTTTCATCTTTTTTATGTTTTTCTTTTCTTTCTTTCTTTTTCTAATTTGTGGTTTTCACCTTTTTGTGTTTATGTTTTTATTCTTTCTTTTTCTAATTTGTGTTTTTCACCTTTTTTGTGTTTATCTTTTCTTTCTTCTTTTTTAAATTTGTGTTTTCACTTTTTAGTGTTTGACATATTTATCTGGGATTTAATAAATAATTTGTATGTTTCTCTTTTGTTATTTGTAGAGAGTTATAACCGTAATTTCATGGAATTCTAGTTGATAAGTAATGTTTCATTAATAATATTTATTATAATTTTATTTTTCAACTAATATTTACAGATTTTGAGGAGTGTTGTGAAAAATCCAAATTTCATATATGTTTGAAATTTTGAAACATTTTGTGTTCCCTCCTCCATTTTTTTTTAATTACGTATGATCTACCACACATTATGCTTGTGGTAAATAACAAAAGGTGATATAAATACTGAAAATAATGACCACAAGCCTTGCATGTGGTGGTTTATTATATTAACAACATGGAACTTTCCATGTGGTCATTCACTTTTATTTTATAACGGACTAAGATTTGTCCATGGTAAAAAATGTTATTCACTACGTGCTTATTATACTCGTGGTAAATTTGTACTTTTTATAATGAGCTTATAAAGCCAGTGGTAAAATTGTCGTGGTAGACGAGCTGATGTCTTGTAGTGCCTACAGTAAGTCTACATACCTTGAAGAGTAACTTACATGCCTCGCTGAAGACAAAATATCAATCAATTCTTGTGGCTTCATTTTCATGATCAAAACTCAACAAAACAAAGCTCAACAAAGCAAGACTCGGTTAACATAAAATTCATAATTTGTAACATCTAATGAAGAGATGAAAAAGTAAAACAGAAATATCTTTCCAGGCTTTTTTCATTTTTATTTTTATGTATAACCTAACATGATCAACAAGTATATTGTTTTGACCAAATCCGATGGTAGCATGACACCGATTTATATATACACTTTTACTTTTTATTTTATCATAAAATGTATTGAAAGGACTAAATACTCAAAAGTTAAAGGCCTACAAAATCACCAATTCATCTCAAATTACCCTTCTCAATAGTTCATCTATAATCACTCATAACAAAGGTATGCAATGTCACCAATTCACTACTTTGCAGCATGTTCACTAGCACTGGTTGAAAAATAAAATGTTCGCCATACCATGAGAAAGGAAATTAATCTTATGGTAAAGATCCCAAATCGCCATTCCATGAGAAAAGAAATAACACTCAAACATAACATACATTTCCAGCCTATTTTTACCACATACAATATGAAACCCAAACTAACATGTTTTTGTTCAGAATTTCTAGATTTTAATCCATTGTTTAAAATGATCATAACTCAATTATTTCACAATAGCTGCATAGCACAAACATAATTATCTTTACTGCTCAATAAACTTACATTTAAAAAACACAAGAAGCTTACTAATTAAAGAAACTGTTTGCGGGTCCATTCTCAAGAAATGGCCTATATTTTCTTCAAGGTTCAAACACACTAAAGTGGCGTTGCAAACCAACCTTTCCAGATGCAAATACTGAACACGAATTCCAAGCCTTCTGCAGAAATTCAAACGTGCACTATAAGCAGTATTATATATATGTGGGTTAGGATCAAGAGACAAATTTTTTGTCAAATATTTTTACAATTATTATTAGCTCTTGGATCCTTTAACATCTAATGATCATAATTAAAAGTTAACATGATAGTCATTAAACTGATAGGTGATGTGGCAATGAGAAAGAAATGAAACAACTCTCCATCTTCCTTCCACATTCATTTGTTCTCTACCTTAATTTAACTGATCTCCCATCTCATGTGCGTTTTATCCCTTCCATGGTCGCTGCTACCATTTTCTTACGTTGTTCAAATTCATGCCCTTGATTTTGATGATAGTTGATGCCCTTGATTCCCAATCCCATGATATGGGATCAAAAAAACAAGGATAGAAAAGGGATAAAACCAGTGCAGACTATTTCTTATGAAAGAGAGAGGTGATGGAGATGACAGAAAAAATATATAAAAAAATCCCATGATAGTTGATGCCTTCTTGTCCTGTACTATTATTAGTAGTGGTGCCCAGCAAAAAATAAATAAAATTAAAAATTAAAAATTAAAAAAAAATCTACAAAATATGATTACAGAAAATCTGTTTGTTGAACTATGCGTCTGATAACTCTAGAAAATACAGTGGCATATAAAAGGTTCAACTTCTATTTGATGCAATGAACGTAGGGCAGGGGTTAGCCTTGCCCAGGAAGTCAATGACAGAAAAAACACAATTATTGGGGCTTTCAAATCACTGTGAAACAGTTATCATCATCATATTCTACGACTCTAGTTGTAAAATCAGTATAGTCATAATTCACATGTAAATTCAATCAATTAGATAATATCCATATGCATCAAACACATATATCAATAAACAAAGTAGTAAATAGAAAATGAGTAAGATAGGGGTATGGCACAAGGTTTTCTGTTGAGGCTAAATATAGGGGTATGGCACTTCATTTGTTGGAGGTATAACTTGGTTACATCGCGTATTAAGAAATAGAAAGTGGTGTCAAGGTCTTCTGCCGAGGCTAAATATAGGGGTATGGCACAAGGAATGTGTGAACTCCTTTGGTTACGTAACATTTTGCAATGTCTTGGTTTCAAACCAAAAGAAGCGATGAAATTGTTATGTGTCAATAGTTTGCAAGAGAAATAACAGATACTCTTGTACTACATGATAGAATAAAACATGTGGAGCTTGATAGACACTTTGATGATTATGGACAATCTCAAGAGGAAAATTGTGTCGGTTCCTTTCATAAATTAAGAGAAACAACTTGTTGATGTTCTTACTCATGCAATGTGTAGTAGAGTGTTTAATGACTTGCTTGTCAAGTTGGGCATGTAAGATATCTATGCACCAACATGAGGGGAGTGTTGACTTAAGTCATAAATTGTAAATATTTTAGGAGTCTTTTTTCAGTAGGAGTAGGATTTGTACATATTAAATTGTAATCATTCTGTATCTATCTTTTCTTTTAGAGTATAAGATTCGTGCCTATATATTGTAAACTCTAAAGAATTAATAAAGGTAATGAAATATTCAGCCTTACAAAGTTCTATTAACGTTATATGATGTGAAGATGACGTACAATTTTGATGATTAAACTTGGGTCAACATTTGCTTACAAGAGCCTAAAACGATTACAAATCCAACCGTCCGATGCTTGTTTCTAGTTTATTTTTTGGTCTATTTTTATTTTCTAGTTAATGAACATTAATTAATCAGAGTATTTGCGCACTCTATCTATAATAGGAGAGATTTTTTTGATGTAGTTGGAACCAAGGTATAAAATATCGATGATATCGGAAATATCGGTAGTCCAAAAACACGAAAATTTCGATAGAAATATCGGGATATTATCGATATCGATAAAAATTGAATAAAAACCACGGAAATTGTAAGAAAAACTTGGAAATTTTTTATTGAAACTTTGTAGGATGTTTATTTAGTCAATTATCTATTAGTTTATCACAAAAAATTGGAAGGAAATACATTGCATGATAGATATAACTGATTTAAGTTGATTATATAGCGAGCTGGCAAACATTATCAGTGTCGAAAATATGTAGTAATTAATGAAAGAAGTTTAAACATACCATAATCATTTATATATAATGAATTAGTACAACATTTTATACTTTATACATTGCATGGTAAGATATATGAGTGACTTAGCAAGGTCTAAAATATCGATGATATCGAAAATATCGGTAGTCCAAAAACACGGAAATTTCGATGGAAATATCGGGATATTATGGATATTTTAGACCATGGTTGGAACATGGGTGATACATCACGTGTCATTATACAAATTGTGGGATATGTGCGTTAAAATGTTAATAACTTAAAAAAAATAAATTTTCTCATCACTTGTATAAAAACATGTGATGTACCACATGTGTTTCGGTCACAATAAAAAAATTTCTTCTACAACAGGGTAAATATTAAAGGAAAAAAATGGTCGGTGGATGTTAAACAATCTCTTCGGTTTCTATAAATTCTCCAAGATCGCTCTGACAAACTACTTCCTCCTAATTAATTTTCTACCTTAATCTAGACCACCAAACCTCTCAAACCCTCATCTCCAACTCGATCAAAAATGGCAATTAGACATGGTACAGTACTCAGTAGTTGTGATATCAATTCACTGGTGGAAATAACCTCAAGAAAGACCATCAAACCATCATCTCCAACTCCTCCTCACAATAGAATTCTTAACCTCTCTCTTGTGGACCAACTTATGCCTTCTACTTTATATGGAACCATCCTATGGTTCTTCCCAAACCACAATGCTTCTGATTTTGCTTCCAAAACTTCAGAGAGTACTACAAGAAAATCTAAACGCTTGCAAGATTCTCTATCCAAAACTTTAGTTCATTTCTATCCAATGGCTGGCCAACTCAAAAGCCCGACGTTAGTTGAGTGCAATGATGAAGGGGCTCATTTTCTGGAAGCCCGAGTTAACTGCCAGCTTTCAGACCTTCTCAGACAACCCAATCCCGAGTTACTCCACCACTTAATGGCCCAAAATGATCCTGAAACTGCCAACGTAGCTTTGGGATCTACACTTTTGCTGGTTCAAATCAACATTTTCAACTGTGGAGGAATTGTTGTTGCTGTGTCCCCTTCGCACAAGATTGCAGATGCAGCATCAGTCCTCACGTTCGTGCGAGCATGGGCAGCGATAAATCGTGATGATGGAGCCCTTGGACAGCAATTGGTGCCGCCGGAGTTTATTGGAGGGTCTTTGTTGCCGCCTAGAGAGCTATCCTTGCCGTCCATCAAGGGAACCTTGGAAATCCAGAGTCAAAGTTTAGTTACAAGAAGGTTTGTATTCGATGTCTCGAAAGTAGTCAGTCTCAAGGAAAAAATTGGAAGTTTTGTCCAAACCTTCATCCCATCAACCATACAACTTGTTTTGGCTATCATTTTGAGATGTTCTATTGCAGCTTCCCGTCAGTGCAAGCCTGTGAGTTCGATCAAGCCAACGGTGGTGTCCCAAATGGTGAGCTTCCGCAAAAGAATCATCCCGGAGAAATCAGAAAATGTCATGGGGAATTGGTTTTGGTCAATTCCAGTGTTGTTAAAAGAAAATGAGACTGAATTACACGATTTGGTGAGCAAAATGAGGCAAGGAGTGACAGAATTTCGCAATGAGAAGGCCAGCAGATTTAAAGGTGAGGATGGATTCTTAGTGGTATCTGAGTCTCTAAGAGAGAGGACTGATATTTTTAATAGCAATAACATCGTAAATGTTTATAAAACCACAAGTTTGTGCCAGCTTCCTCTGTATGAAATGGATTTTGGATGGGAGAAACCTGCGTGGGTCACCAGCCTAAGTGCCCTCAAGAACATAATTGTTTTGGTTGCCACAAAAGAGCAAGATGGTATCGAAGCTTGGGTGACCCTGGATGAACAAGAAATGGCCATATTTGAGTCTGATCAAGAGCTTCTTGCATTTTGTTCCGTCAACCCCAGCATTGACCATTCAGGGTTGGTCCTGGGTTTTCCAAGGCCCATGGCGAGGATCTAAATTATGCTCTTTAGGAATTTGGTCTTTTTTTAAGTTTTGAGTTTTGTTCTTTTTATACTTTATTGGAATTTCTAGTATAATAAAGATTATGATTGTATCCTATTTGTTTTCCTGTTTGATTAGTATTAAGTCTTTATTAATACGCGTCTTTAACGCTTTAGGAAAAAGTTTTGACAGGCTGTGATCTTTCGTTAGGTAAGTTGTCATGTAATGAATGTAATCTTATCCTTCATTTTTGTCAATGATAAGTATCATGTTGTGGTCTATTTTATCTGATAATATTTAGGATGGCTGGCGGCAATGAGAAGAGAGAAAAGAGAGATGTGTTTGTAGAATTGTAAGGGAATGTGTATTGTTATCATTCCTACACTGTGCCTTTATTTATAGTAATAGAAGGAGAGAAGATATTCCATTTTCCCCAAGTAATACAAGTTGTAATAGGAAATAATAACTAGAATAAAATCTAATCTAGGATTTACACAATCACACTTAAACTAGTAATACAAGGTAGATTTAGCATCATGCAGAAGTTGAGGAAGTCGACTTATCGGCACTGATTCCAATGAACAACGCTTATTCTCAATAAGGTAAGAACTTGCATAAGTAGTAAGTCTCACTAAAAAAACCCTAAGGCTATGGCAAAAACCCGAGGAGGGACAAAAGCCATAGTCTAAGGGAAAATGTGTGAGAAATGCAAAAGTTAAAGAAACGTCTACTGGACGTCATCAGGGATATGACCAGCCCAAGGTGGGTGCCTTGTTAATACCTAGTTAGGTAGCAAAAACGCGGTGGGAAAATGCTCCTAATGGTAGGGAAAAAAGAGTACATTAAGATCAAGCAAGTATCTACATGATACTCCCCCTGAGTTTGACATAATTCCAAAGGGAAATAGCAAAGTTACAACCCAAAAAGTTTACGCATACCAATTCCAAGAACAAGCTTCTGAAACATCATCTTCGGCAGTGATTTGGTGAAGAGATCGGCCAGACTGTCTTGTGAACGGATTTGCATGACTTCAATCTTCTAATGCTCGTGTTGTTGATGTGTAAAGAAAAACAACGGTGCAATGTGCTTGGTGTTGTCTCATTTGATGTAACCATTCGTGAGCTGTTCAATGCAAGATGAGTTGTCTTCAAAGACTGTCGTCGGGACATCAACGAAGAGATGAAGATCACAGAAGCTTCAAATATGGCCCACTACTACTCTCAACCAAAAGCATTCCCGAGTTACGTCATGTAAGGTGAGAATTTTAACATGGTTAGACAAAGTGGCAACTAAGGTTTGTTTAGTTGACCTCCAAGATATTACGGTGCCTCTAACGATACAGACATAACCCGTTTGAGATCGCGTCTTGTGCGGATCAGATAAGTATCCTGTGTCGGCATAACCAACAAGGGGAGAATCAACTTAAGGAGCATAGGGTGCAACACCATTCGAGGATTCGTACGGATAGAACAAGCCCAAATCCGTAGTACCCTTAAGGTAACGGAAGATGTCTTTCACGCTAGTCCAGTGTATGCGTGTTGGTGCATTACTATATCTTGCCAAAAGATTAACAGCGAATGAGATGTCGGGTTTAGTGCATTGAGCTAAGTACAATAAAATGCCTATCGCACTTAGATAAGGAACTTCAGGCTCCAAAATCTCTTTATCATCCTCCTTCGAACGGAAGGGATCTCGTTTTGCATCTAGCGAACGAACGACGATAGGAGTACTCGAAGACTTCGCTTTATCCTCATTCAAACAGTGCAACACCTTCTGGTTGTAGTTCGATTGATGTACTAGAATTCCATCCGAACAATGCTCTATCTCGAGACTGAGATAGTATCAAGTCTTACCTAGATCTTTCATCTCAAATTCTGATTTCAAGTGCGCGGCAGTTTTCGCGAGCTCTTTAGGAGTTTCGATGAGATTCATGTCATCAACATATACTGCAACAATCGTAAATCTGGAATGTGACTTCTTAATGAACACACAAGGGCATAATTTGTTGTTCACATATCCCTGACTAGTCAAATACTCACTCAGACGGTTATACCACATTCTTCCAGATTGTTTCAAACCAAAAAGTGAACACCTTAGCCGAATTGAGAATGTGTTCCAAGGTTTGGAAATATTTGAACCAGTCAATCTAAGTCCTTCGAGAACTTTCATATAGATTTTCGTATCAAGATCCCCATAAAGATACGCGGTTACTATGTCAATCAGCTTCATATTTTTCGAAAACTACCAAACTGCTAAGGTAGCAAAAAGTAATCAGATCCATAACGGGTGAATAAGTTTCATCATAGTCAATCCCAGGACGTTGTGAAAAGCCTTGTGCAATAAGACAAGCATTGTAACGCAAAATTTCGTTCTTTTCATTATGCTTTCGAATGAAAACCCACTTGTAGCCAACATGCTTCACATGTGGAAGAGTATGAGCTATGGGTCTAAACACTTCACGTTTCACAAGCGAATCGAGTTCAACTTGGATTGCTTGTTTCTAGTTTGACCAATCAATTCTAGTCGACATTCATCAACGGAACACGATTCAATGTCATCGCTCAACATGATCTCAATAACTATTGCAAATGCTAATGCATCGTTCACAATCATCTCATTTCTACACCACACATCATCTAAGCTAGCATAATAAATCAAAATATCACGAATCTCGGGAGGAGGATTCGTCTCTTCAAGGACGCTTCCATAATCTAGAATTTCCTCATAAGTTGGGTAGAATGAGTAAGTGATAGTCGGATTCACGGTAAGTCTTGTGCTGTGGTTTTCCTCTTCCAGGGGTGTGAATCCTTTGAACCAAGGGGTCTGCCACCCTTTTGTGTAGAGGAAATGATTGGCTAGCCACTAATGTACGTGGATCACCAAGATTGAAGTCCCGGGCTTCCAAGATGACAGTCTGTCGTACATATGGTACATCCATCTTTGCAGGCGTATTCGCAGCTAGAATATGTGATCTTGTCACGCACACTAGATCGGTGAAAGCATCTGGCATGCTCTGAGCTATGCTTTAGAGATCTAATATACGCTGCACTTCGGTTTCAGACAAACTGGGAGTCGTCCGTTGTCCATGATAATTCGCTTCGTTCAGGAACGTTGATTTTCTTATCTCCCCCTAACGATCGGAAGACTATCTCATAAAAGTGACAATCTGTGAAACGAGCGGTAATTAGATCACCTGTCAAAGGTTCTAAGTAACGAATAATCGAAGGAGAATCATATCCGACATAGATTCACATCCTTCGTCGAGGCCCCATTTTTATATGTAAGAGCGGCGAGATCGGCACATATACCGCACAACAAAAAATGTGCAGATGTGATATGTCAGGTTCGTATCCAGTAACCAACTGAAAGGCTCTAAATGGTTGTGTTGAGCAAGCCTCAGACGAACCAACTTTGTTGCGTGCAATATTGCATGGCCCCAAGCAGTGATCTAGAGCTTGGTACGTATGACCAACAATCGAGCAATCATTTGTAAGCGCTTAATGAAAGCCTCTGCCAGGCCATTCTAGGTGTGAACATAGGGTACAAGATGTTTAACTTCAACCCCAACCACACATGCAATAGTCATCAAAAGTTTTAGATGTGAATTCTCCAGCATTATCTAATCGAATAGATTTGATTGGATAATCAGGATGATGAGCCCTGAGCTTGATAACCTGAGCCAACAATTTGAAGAATGCAGCGTTCCTTGTGGACAACAAACACACGTGTGACCAGCGTGTGGAAGCGTCAACCAAAACCATAAAGTATCTAAATGGTCCGCAGAGAGGGTGAATTGGTCCACAAATGAACCCCTGAATCTTTTGTAGAAAAATGGGAGGATTCAAACGAATCTTGTCATATGAAGGCTTAGTAATAAGCTTTCCCATCAAACATGTTTCATATGCGATTCCTTGGATAGAACCTAAACTTCGAGTTAGTGGATGCCCGTGTGAAGATTTGAGGACAATGCCAAAGTGTAATTTCATACGCGGTCCCAGTAGTAGGGCCGGCCACATAGTGGCATTCAATGGGGCATATAGTCATAGTATACAGATCATTCGGGATATGCTCCATCTTCTCTAGAATACGCTTCTGGCCATATTCGTAGGAAGTTATGCACAGAAATTCAACTATCTTTTCTATGTGGGTTTCAGCGGGGTAATTGTTATCTCTCATGCCCTTGAAACTTAACAACGTTCTTCCAAAACGTGGAGAATAGAGTGCCTCAGAAATGGTCAAAATTGTATCATTGGACAACATTATATGTGTCTGACCGTATCCTTCTATTAGGTTGGTTGGGCCTAAGAGGGTTGTTAGAGGTGCATTCTTAGGTATGAAGTTAGTGAAATAAATGCGTTCATGCAAAATGGTGTGCGTGGTTACACTATCTGCCAGACAACTAACTTTCCCACTAGTCATACCTAGAATGAAAAATTAATTTGAATCGGTCACATGCATAAAAGTTTATAAAAACATTTATCAAGTCAAAATAATTTCATTTATTCAAGGATTAAAAACTTAATGTCCATAACAAATCACCAACTAATAATCCAAACACAAAGGAAAATTGTTCAAAAATTAACCAAAAACAAAGGAGGGGTTTGGCCACTAGGTGGAATTCGGCCCCAATTGTTTTATTTCAACTAAAAATAAGTCTATGTCTAAGATTCTAATCTTCCATAGGTGTGGTATCCGCCTGAAAAGTCATAAACCTCCATTTTTGTAGTCTCTGGTTCGTCCACTTGCATGAAGTTTGATTCAAATTTCTTACGATGAGAATGATATTCATCTACAACCTTCTTGGGAGCTCGGCAAACACGAAACCAATGGTCCTTTGAACCACATCGATAGCACATGTTTGCATCCATGGTTTCAAGTGCTTTGCCTTTTTTCTTGAAGTTTGGGGCCTTGGGAGGTTTGGGCATTTCTGTGCTTTGTTTCCACCCTTGGATGGGCCTTGACTCTGTTAACCTTGGTGGGATGGTTTCTGGCCACCCCTACCACACCTCTTTTGGCGTTTTGGTCATTGGTTATTGCTATAATGTGCTTCAGGCACATCAGTCGCCCTAGTAGGTCGAGCTTGATGATTCTTAATTAACAGCTGGTTCTACTTTTCTGCTAGAGGTAAAACAGAGATCAAATCCGAGAACTTGGTGAACTTCTTAGCTCTATATTGTTACTGCAGGACAATATTAGAAGCAGAGAAGGTCAAATAGGTCTTCTCCAGGAGATCCTCTTCAGTCAAAGTTTAATTGCAAAACTTGAGAATTGATCGGATTCG